ACGCACGCACGCACGCACGCACGCACGCACGCACGCACGCACGCACGAACGCACGCACGCACGCACGCACGAACGCACGAACGCACGAACGCACGCATGCACGCACGCACGAACGCACGCACGCACGCACGCACGCACGAACGCACGAACCCACGGACGCACGGACGCACGCACGCACGCACGAACGCACTTGTGCACTGCTACTAGTAACAAGTGCATCGCTACTAGTAGCAAGAAGCTACCAGTAGCGATGCACTTGCTACTTGTAGCGATGCACTTGTAACTAGTCTGTTAAAAAGCCAAGAAAAACATCACCTGTCAACTCTCTTGGTTTTTGAGGCGCGGGAAGCTGGGCTTCCTAGCTACTGATGACCCTGCACACTAACAGTTCCAGTGCAGAAATCATACAGTAGAAGGTTCACAGCTAGCTATCTAACGACAAACCACTAAGACCCCAGTGGATTCTTCCAAAAACAAGAAGTTCCAGAGATCCTTCCCTTGCTGGCCTTTCAGTTTGTAAGTTCCAAAGACTTCCAACCACCAAGCTTTCCCGAAAACAAAACGAGGTGCCACCAACGCGCAGGTGCTCCCGACGCAAGGGAAAGTCGGTCGCAACAGAACAAGGCTTCCAGGCATGGCAGTGCCAAGGCTGGTGACTTGGCCACTCCACTCAGTGTCTTCCAGCGTGAACCTCCGGTGTCTTCCAGTGGACTGGTGGGTTTATCATCATCGGTGGGCCTCTGGATGTCACGATGTTCATGGTGGATGTCTTCCATTTAAGGAGGAAAACAATAGATTCAATAGATTTCATGGCACGAGTTTATACGGTGTTCCCAGTAGCTTCTTGCTACTACAGTAATAGCGATGCCGCGAGCTACTAGTAGCATCCTTGTTCCTAGTAGCAATGCCCTTTGTTCCGTTCGTAGCGTCGAAGCATATGAGTGAAAGCCAAATCCGGGATGTCGACCGACCCAGGTCTCCCAAATCGCCGGGAGAAACACCACCCCAGTGAGCGTTGCGGTCATCTGCGCTGCGATGGTCAAACACGGAACTCACCGGTGCGGTCAGACGAGGCATCAAACACGTCAGGACCCGCACATTCCAAAAAATGCAGATATGAATGGTGGATTCACTGAAGACCTTGCAGTTTTGGGCATATGGTCGATGTTCCATGCTTGAAGCTTCTGGCGCGTTTCATTCCTGCCAGTCGCGCAGTCAACCAGCCTCAAAACCTGCTTGTTCCGGTCAAAGTGGCCTGTGCGACTAGAAAGCCCGAAGCATCCAAACAGGACGTTGTTCAATTGAAAACCAAAAAGCATCCACTGAATTTGCAAATTTCACCAGTCCCTTGTCATCCCTTGTCCACCAAGCGGATGACCTAGTTTCAAACAGTTCAGACACAAAGTTGCACAACCCTGCAATGGGTTGCTGTCTCTTTTTCCTGCTTGCCAGGTGCCTGCAACTCCTGATCCGAGCCCATCTCCCCGCAACCCAGTGGCGCCCTGCCCACCGCCTGGGTGTCGCACTTCTTCCAACCTGGCTGTCGATGGAAACCTCCGTCGACTTGGTGATCCCCGGTTGGACCATACAGTAATAGTAGGGGCAAAACGAGGCCAGCCACGACCAACCCCAGCTCTGGGAGCCTCTCTTGATACATTCACACGAAAACCAGAGTCTGTCTGTGGATGTCTGTGGGGGTAGCAGAGGAGGTTTTCTGAAGGCGCTAAAAGGGCATCCAATCATTGACTTGCAATCGGATCGCTTGCCCAACATCTTCCAGACACACCGTTGACGAAGAGATCTGATTTGTTTTTTCCTCATTGAACGGCACGTGTTCCACGGCATGTGTGGAAAACACACACCGTTAGTGCTTCCATGGAAAACCCAATTCACCGACCACACCGAGGAAGCTGCTTCTCTCGCCGACTGTCCCGTCTTCGACCACAACGTCGGGGGCCCCGACTGTCCCGAGACGGTCCACTTCTGCACCTCGACGGTTTGACCCTCGTAGCGGACCTCGGACCGATCCGATGGACCGAGGTTTTCACGAACGAACACAACTGTGTATAATATATACATATGTATAATATATATATATATATATGGTTACGTGATGGTTTCGGCCGTGCGCGCTTTAGCAATTTTCCCAGACAGCCAGACAGCAGCTCATAGTTTCTACAAAGACAAAGAACGTCTCAGTTGTGCAAGTTCATCCTTCAGACGTTGATTTTCACGGCGCAGGCGATCATTCTCTTCCTCGATTTCCTGATGGCATCCCACTGCATCTAGCAACTCTTGGAAAAGCACTCTTTCGTCTTGCGTCAACGGTGCCCGGGGTGTAGAAGTTGACATTGGGGTGGCCTCCTGTTCCACAGACTTTTGTTTCTCTGCTTCCGGGTTCTCTGATGTAGAAGACGATGAATCCGAAGAACTAGAATCAGAACCACTACCTCCATCTCCATCTCCATGTTGGTCATCATTGGGCATTTCTGCTGCAGGAAGAACAGGTGCAGGAAGAGCAAGCATTGGAACACTGCCTTGGGAAGCTGATGCCGAGCGAGCACGGCCATCTTTCTTGGTTTGTAACCAAGAAAGCAGCGCCGTCTGGCAGTTACTCGACCAAGCAGTACCTTGTGCCAGGGTTCCCTGGTTCACTGCATTGCGTCTGATGGTGCTGATTTGGACCTGAATTTGCTTTTTAGTGACTGCCGCCCTGTCACTATGCACAGCGATTGTTCCATTGCCAATGTTTTCCATGATGTCAGCAGCATCAGGACAAGAAGTAGGTTCTGAAGAGGTGCTTTGAGACACATTGCCCATGAGCTCCAAAGTGATGTGCTGTCGTTCGTTCATGTAGGCTTCCACAGAGAGCTGCCATCAAAAGACCTTCAGCCAGCTCCAATACTGTCATGAAGAAGCCATTTGCCACCCAGAAACCTTCAGCCAGATCCAAGACCTATGGTGCCTGGAAACGACCTGCTGGAAACAACAAGTTTGAGCCACACTCACAAAAGAAGACTCCAAATGCTACCTCTTTCTACAAGAAGTACAATTATGTTGTTGAAGTTGATGAGTCTCATTTGAACCAGTTGCGAAGCGGTAGTTTGAGTAAAAGTTGCCGCGCAGAAACTGATCAGGTCTGGATGTGGGGTGCTACTGTTCCTGGCAGGCCAGAACATTTCTTATTTCGTGTCTTGGATCACCCACAAGCTGCTCTGGATGGCAAGCCTCGAGGTCAGGCTGAGATTCTTGATTGCCTTCGCCTTCTCAACCTGCAACCCAAGACCATCATCGTGACCGATGGATGGAAGGCGACGGTAGCGGCTATCAAGGATCTAAAAAAAGAAAAGGGATGGACTAATGCCCAAGAGAGCTGGGACGTTGATTTCGCCTGGACGCTCTCTAAAGCCATCAATTTGCTTGGAGCGCCGCCATCCAGGTAAACCAGACAAACTGCGAGAAGATGTGAGGTGACGAGCAACGGCCATCGCCATGATCTGAGCTGTAGGCGTCTTCCCAACTCCTGCTTTCCCGAGCACCATCAAGCCAAAGGACGGCATCAAAGGCAAGATCATCGGTACAATCTTGTTGAGAAAGGTTGGGTTCTGCGAGTGGATCTTAATCAGCGAAGTTTGAAGCTATCACTGACGATCCATAAGCGGCGTAGCGTCGGAACGGAAACCGCACCTTTTCTAGTCGCTTGATCCTTGAGCCAAAGTACATATGGTACATATATATGTACAAGTTGCACTGTACGTGTTGCTGCACTTCCATTCGCACCCCCCATGTGAACGGCAACAATATGTTCCGATCACACACGAAAATTTAGGGATGTAAGTGCTACAAAAGAAATTGTATGATTTGCCGCGAGACTCATATGAGGCTCATACTACGAAACATGCTGGACTAAAGCGGACTTTTACATATAAAGTGTGCAACTATGGCTCAGAACCTATGAAAATCGAATTGAACAAGTGAGACAGTCACGAGGCCTCGCTCAGTATCCACTCAAAAGAGCATCGCTTTGATGTAGATCCGAACTGGTGACTTCCATGTAGATGTCACATCGGCAACTGACTTCACACTTCTCAAAAGATGTAGGTTTTGGTTTGGATACACTTACAGAACGGCAAGTCGGAGAGACAGTCGGTGACTGTCTGCCTTCCATTATGCTCATGGTATCAAATTGTCAATCCGATGATTTGCAATGATACACTTACAGCGTTTCAGATCAGATAGACATCCGGTGAATGACTTCCTCCCTGGTTTGCATGGTATCCTCATAGTCGTTCAAAGAAATCACCACTGGCGATAACCTCTCCATCCACGATGATCCCAGCTGCCCTGAGCATCCCGCCGATCATCTTCTCCCTTCTTGGACTTTCCCTTGGACTTGCTCTTTCCCTTCCCCTTTTCAGAAGGTTGAGGTACTTCGCGACGTTCTTGCGTTAGCGCCGGCCTCCAAGATGTTCCAGATTGGCCTCCTCCTTTGGAATGTCCTCGGGATGATGAAGAAGTTGTACCTTCTGCTGCATGTGCGTTGGCGGCAAGATCTTCCTGCAAAGCTTGCTCAAACACATCGGTAGCACTGGATGGTGATTTATCATGTGGTCTGGCTTTTGGAGCAGCCTTCGCCTTGCTCTCCTCTGCTGATGAGGGCCCGGAACTCTTAGGTGCTGTTGAAGGTTTTGGCTCCTCACTTGGTGCTGACGACGGCTTGGCCTCGGTTCTGGGTGTAGATGCTGGCTTTGCCTCAGCTCTTGACGAAGATGCTGCTTTCGCTTCAGACTTAGTCGTTGATGTTGACTTAGCTGTTGCCTTGGCTGCCTGCTTCTTCTTGCCCTGAATCTCCTTGGCCCTATCTCCAAAGCCTAGACGATCGGTAAGAGCTTGAACATGCTTCTGTTCTACCACGCTCATCCATCTCTCTGTATGTCCAATGTTGGGATTTCTGGCCATTGACTCTACGACATTCTGAGCGTGTGGGGGCAACCTGATCTCATGTTGATCAATGATCAGCAGAATAGACTTCTCCCATTTGCTCTTCATTCTCGAGTACATGATGTCCAGAGGATCGATCACCTTGTGGTTGGGTGATGTAACGTCGGTTCTAAAGTAAGAATATGTCCGACAACCATAAATCGCATGGATGCACTTCTGTACCAATTCAGTCATTGCGCTGGCTTTCTTCGCTTTCAACTCCTCAAGCTGGACGTCAGTCAAGTTGGTGGAGTATTCGAAGTTGCCATATTCCTTCTTGAAGGAGTACGGAGTATGACCAAATGATAGGATCACGAGTGCCACCTTGCAAATGAATTGCTCTCCTCTGAATCGGTGCCAGGCCTCCTCAATCGTAATCTTGTTTTCGTTGGCAAAGATTCTCATCATGTCATCTGTTGGATCCAATGGTCTCCCATCGTCATCGATTTCAGTGAAATCCTCTGTACCGAACTTGCTTATTACATCCAGTCGCTTCCTTTTCCAATTTGCTTTGAAGTCGGTAAGGCTGGTGCAATAGTAGCTCTTGTACATCAGGGAGATCATGTTCAGCACACATTTGACCACATACCTATCCATCAAACCCGATGCATTCACGGAGACGTCCTGACAGTAGGCTCTCTCTTGATGCGCATAGATTCGAGGTTCCGGTACTCGACAATAGATGGGGAGATCTTCGTTGTCTCTTCCTTCTTCGGGATTGAACTCGGTCGCTCCATGCTGTGCATAGTATCCCGGTTCATCACGATCTGTCGGTCGATTCGCCTCCGGATGTAAGTCGTCGGTGACGTCTTCATCCTCGGGTTCACCATCTTGACATTTCTTCCCCTCATATTGTTGTGTGCTCCTCTGGATCTCGATGATCACGTTTCGTTCGTCTTCATCTTCTAGATCAGAATCACGATCGTAGTCGATCTCGTCCTCATTGAAAGATGGGGTCTCGACATTGTCACTCTTGAAGTTTTCTGCACCATCAGACGGTTTGGAAGGATCTAGATTGTCCATGTCCTCGTCGTCGTCAGCTGCTTCAGTTTGAGCGATGTCTTCTTCCCAAGCCTTTCTGATCTCGTCCATAGTGGCCTGGTCCAAGATATCTTGATCATCATCTTCAGGCTCCTTCTCTTCCTTCTTTTCCTCTTCATCGTCGCTCACAAGATCAACGGGTGAATCGAAAATGACAGTGTTGCGAATACCACACGAGAGTAGCCTGCCTTGACAAGATAGACACACGGACAAAGATGAAGAAGTCAAATGCATACATGATGGACACAAAATATTGCCATCCACGTTGCGATACCCTTCACATGTTCTGGAGATGATTTCGTCCCAAGTTTCCTCACTGATGGAATCCTCGATCAGCTCTCCATTGTCATCGAATTGTACTTCATCGATAAGGGACACGAGCTTTTGGACGTTGTCATCTGTCGCCGAGGCTGACTTCGTGACTTCGTCGGCTCTCTCGAGGATGGTATGCTTCTGAGCAACCCAAAGTCCATGACGTGCCGCTAGAACAACTTGCTCTCCAGTGCTTCCCAGCAGGAGTCTCCTCCATGCCTGAACGTAGTCGTCCCAATACCAAGCACCTCGTACACATCTCCATGGAACTTCTCTAAAAACAACAGTGTAGGAATTCTCCGAAATTCTTCCCCCAAGCTTCCTCAAAGTCATGATTGGAACATAAAGGCAAACGGGCATTCCCACTCTTGGCCATCTTGATCTCAGAATCTTTGATGATCGATCATCCCACGGCGCAAAGTGGTTGAAGAAAACACTACCTCTATATCCCTCCGTTCCACCAGGGACAATTCCTAGTTTCATGATTGACTCAATATTGGAAAGCGATGTCATGTGAAAGCTTCCTCCAAGCTGCATTGCCACATTCTCTGGAATGAGATGTGAAGTCCACACAGGATATATTGACACATCCTCTTCAAGAACAGTCTCTCTTCCAGAATTGTGAGAGGCAACAGCTCGAATTGCACAAGGAACGATCCAACGTTCATGCTTCAGAAATGACG